TAAAACACAAAACGTCCTAATATATATTCTTGCGTTACGTGTGGCCTAAGTTTTAGGGGTGGCCTGAAAAATGTATTATATTTTAGCAAAATTTTGGAATACGTTTAAGTCGTAGAATAATTTTAACAGTTGTTTTCGATTACATATTTGAGTCCTCTACAAATAGTTTCCCATGACTTTTGGTGTAAAATAATTAGGGAAGCAGGAATTCAACAATTTAGAATTTACCATTGAGTTTCCTATGGTCCGTTTGACGATTCACCACCCGGTATATATATATATATATATATATATATATATATATATATATATATATAATATATATATTATATATATATATTCTCCTAAAATGCGTACTCATTATTTTTATCCTGTTTGTATTTGTGAATGTAATCAATTATCATTTGTATACATATGTTTTATCTTCGTTTTGTGGTCGCCTATAATAATTTAAATATCTTGTCTGGGCATTTCTTCAGACAATGACTCTCATAAAATTCATGTCAATCAGCGATATCATATTCACTTTTCCTTTAATTCTAATTGCACACATTCTGTCAGATCTTGTTACAAATCGTTTTACCTGCTCCACGTCTTCTTCCTTCTCGTATATCTCTCGTACATTCCAACCGGATCAAAATCTGCAAACTAAATATATTTATATTTTAGCTATTAGCCGCAAGATGGAGCTGCAGACTTACTTAAAAACCTCGAAATGAGATCAATAATTTTTATTAGGATTTGTTTGAATTATATAAATATCAATTTTCTGGTTGTTTGAAAATTTGTGAATAGGTTTGCGACAATTTTTTTTTATCCTAGAAAAGTCTAATAAAAGCATAGCATAGAAACTGTAGGTCCTGCGATACGAATAATTTTTTGATAAATTTGATACTGAAATTATACGGTGTTTGAAAAAATATATTACCAAGGGCATAATTTATAATACCTTTCAAGACAAGAGGAGAGAGGCAAGAGAGGCATGGAATACGTTAAGGAACTTTTGACTTGACAAAATACCCATGAAAGGGTAAAGATAGAACCAATACAAATAGCCAAGAGGGTAGAGTTATCTATCTACATCTATCTACATAAATGCCATAAAAATCACTTTACAAAGACAATGAATGTAGACTAAAAGTCAGACAAAACTAATCAGAACGATTTAAAAGTAGATAAAAGACTTACAAATAGATGAAACACTAACACTAGAGCAAAAATTGACGATAACTATATCCAGAGCCTTTTATTTGCCGATGATCAAATAATTTTAGCAGAAGACAAAGATGGCATCGTCTACGTAATAAGAAAGCTCAAAGAAAAATTTGCAAAATGGGATTTAGAAATTAATTATGATAAAACGCAACACACGGTCATTTGAAACACCGCAGAAGACCTGGAGGTGAATAAAAAATAAATGCATTGAAGAACAAGCTGCAGATTCATCATCTTTCTGAATGGCCTCTTTCTAAAGGTACTTTCATAACACTGGCTTTACAACCCTGCGTGGGCACTAGTCTCGTATGAAAATACGCGAAGAATGGATGAAGACAAAATAATTCTGGGAACTTGGAAATGGAAACAAAATAGAAGAAAGGAAAAGAGGACATCCTAGATTAAAGCAAAGCGGATAAGTAAAAAAAGCAATGGAAAAAAAGACCTCGTTGAAAAGATATATATGAGAAGAGAACATGGCGATTGCGTTGGTGAAAAAGGCACACAAAATATGCTGTATCAAGCCACCGATAAGTAAGTTATTAAGTATATACCGATAAAAAGAAGATCTACATATTTTCTGTAGAGAATTTGATATTTTTTAGAAAAATTTCCTATCCCAGAGATATTTTTTTGTAATTGATTGATCGTAACATTTCAGAGTTAACAAATCGAGAGGAGGCGTATGCCAGTGTATACTTGGAAAACCTTGTGATCCTGCAGACAGACAAATATATACCTTAATTCCTTGGTGCTTGGCTCATACTGCTGACCGTCATAATCATTGGGCAGGCCTTTATGGTAGACTCGAGTGGTTTGGATATTTTGGTACTACTATTACAAATCCTGAACCCATGGGAAAACAGGGTAGAGGTAAGAGAAAAAATAATTTTTTTACGTAAATATAAAACGTTGTTTAGGTATCAAATTTTTTGTTCAGTATTTCTAAAACTTTTTTTTTCAAAAACCTGTCCAGAATTCTCTGCTCCTCATTATACTTTTAGTTACTATTGGTTTAAAGAAAGAAATATTCTTATTCATACATCTTTTGCCCTCTCAGCAGTCGGATTGAGGTTAGTATTTCTTGTTATTGTTTGGTCTTTCTATATTTTAATTAATTTAGCTGTTGCGGTCTGAGGTGCTGTCGCCATTGTTGGTTATCAGGGTGCTCAAGTCTTCAAATCTGTCTACTAGTTCTAATTTCGCCACTTGGTGTATGTGCGGTAGATTAGTTCAGAGATGGTCATCATTGCGAGTTCATTCACTGTTAGTATAAGTTTGTCATCTTCGTATCGCAGCTTACTGATTTTTCTGCCTCATATAGTAATTCTTCCATTCCATTTGTCTATTACTTTCCTCATTACATAATATTCAGAAATATTTTGTATAATAATGGTGATAGATAATATGCAGCCTTGTGCAGTTCCCTTTCTTTTGATTTGATATTAATTTATTAATAAAACATTAAAATGAGGTAAAAAATTTAAAATAGAATAAATTGTTAATCTTTTTCAAAAATAATTCTACAAGTTTTAATTTTGCGCCAAAGGGAGGCTTTGGTAGTGGATAATAAGTTATAAATTTTAAAACAAATTTATAGAATAATTCAATTTGTTTATCTTAAATTTGTCAAAATTAACAATCGAGGCGTTTCTCGGAAAAACCTCATAAGTCCAAAATTGGGATATTTTGAAAAATGAAAAACTCTCGGGCAATATTATTTTTGAGTAGATTCTTTTATTGATATATTTAGTTGATGTACAAAAACATAAGATAGTTTTTTAAAAGAAAAAAGAACAAGTGTCCTGAATTGAAACACCAAAAACTAAATATAAACTCTGAAAAACATTAAAATATTAAATATTATTAAAATATTTAAATATATATTAAATAATGACTAACCATCCATCAGAATGGTGCTCTGCCTGACTGCTCAGCCCTGGGTTCGTTCCCTGTTCATTTTTTCTTCACACAAATCCCAGAAAGGTACAGGAAATAAAAAAACTTACGAAGTCATAGTAAAGGTATATATATATATATATATATATATATATATATATATATATATATATATATATATATATGTATATATTATATATATATTGATTATAGGTTATTCCACGAATATACGACTGTTTGGAATTATTGCTACAACGAATATTTTACTGTACAAGTAGAAGTATGAAAGTAAATTGGTCTAATTATTATTCCATAAAAACGGATCTTCTGTTACTATGACATATAAACTAAAATTATTTCAGTTAGTAGATGTTCAGATAGAGGCAAAATTTATTGTGAAAATTAATCCGAAAATAACAAAAAAATTGACGTAGCGCTCCTACAAATAAATACAATGACCTCTATGAAGTTAAATGTGTTCATCAGCCATTTGGGTTGGATTTCGGTGAAATGTAAACACCAAAGAGGCGCGACGGGTATCTTTATTATTTTATTAGATATTACAACGGTAATAAAAAAGAAATATATTATTTTGAATATAAATAAAAAGAATTTGGCAGAAGGATGGTTCAGAAACCAGAAACAAAATCTGGTATTCCACTTTGTTAGTTTTTTGTTTGCTTTGAGTGGATATGCTCTTAAAAGTTCCGAAAGTAAAGGGTATAACATGGCGGCTATTGATAGTTAAAGTACCGAGTCATTACAGATATTAAAAAGTAACGAAAATTTAAATACAGTTTCATAAATCGCTGACTGATTTTAGTTTTAAAAACCGTCTGTATACAGGTGTCCGGTGAAGAGACGTGTCCGTTAAGAGAGATTTTAGTGTAGTGTATTTGTTTGTAATGGTGATTAGGAGAATAAGAGTAAGAGTAAGTTTTTTTGTTTTTTTAATACTTATTGAATATTCGACTAAATAAATTAAACTATTTAATCACTTAAGTATTTTTACACTTCGTTTAAATCACTTAATTCAAAAACCAACTTGTTTACAATACTAAAGTCAATGAGAGTAATTATACGAGTATACTTCAAAATCTGAATTACAACTATTCTATAAACTATCAATTCTATATTTAGATCACAACTTCATAATTTAAATCTAAGGTGTATATCTGTCATAACAGTATTTTAAAAATGGGGAGAATTTACCATTGTACAATTCAGCGCATTGGACCATTTTAAGTCGACACCTTTAAAGCGAATTTAAAACAGTCGTATATTCGCGGAATGGAGTATAAATAATAATAAACAGAATTCATATTATTATGAATGTGAATCAAAAATAAATTTTTAAACTGAGACTCAAAGATTCTGCCGGTTGCCGGTAATAAAATAATTAAAGTATAAAAAAAGTACTCTTTGTACGATCTTTGTGGAAGTTAGCCGCTGTCGGTGGTTGTTAGTTGGGTTAAGGGGGTTGTTGGTCTAGATTAAAGCAATAATTTTTTGTCCCCATGTTGGTAAATGGTTTTCAAAATATATTCTGATGCATCAGTGGATTATAGGTAGTATGGGTGGTTGCTGATTATTTTCCCAAGGTAGTGTAGTTGGCTGTTGTTTGCTTCCTCAGGCAGTGTGATTGGCTATTGCTTGCTCCCGACAGTAGTGGCCGTGTATACGCCTTAAGGTCGATTTAGACACATCAGTCACGTCTCGTCACAGTCCTGGCGCCGAACCGAACAATCCGTCATACAAAATATTCTTTAATACAAATATGTTGCCGGCATTCACACTCATTAGTTGACAAACAGTTTCCCAGCTGTCAGATAGTTGATAGTTCTGTGACCAAACAGGACCGGTTCGGCGCCGAGACTATGACGGGACTGATGTGTCTGAATCGGCCTTAAGACACTAACCAATTTGTGTGACTGAAGTTTGATTATATAATGATTATGATATGATAAAGAGAATTTGTATCGGCCTATATTGGCGACGTGCAAGTACTTGGAGGGGATACGAGAAACGATCGTGCGCGAGTAGTGGAGAAATCTTGCATTTTTTAATGCACATTTCATAGATTATAGATTTCATAAATTCATATTGTCAATTGTCATATTTCATATTCGTTTTGTTTATTTACACCTTCTGTCACTGAAGAAAATGGGAGTTAGGAAATGCTGTGTTATAAATTGTAAAAGTACAAACAAAAAATTGTCAATTTAAGTTTTATTCGTTTCCAACTTCGAAGCACAAAGCTACTACAAAGAGAAAAGTGGATTTATATTATAAAAAAGCATAAGTAACATAACCTAAATTATTCATTATTCTTGCGTCCAATTTTAAAGTCAGTTTGAAATAAATATTAAATAAAAGTTCACTTTTAAGTGTAAATTTTAGTTTCATAAAACTCACTTAGAGTTCATTTTAACCCAAAAATCAAGTTTATTGTTTGAATTTTATTTTTTTGAAGTTTACAAAAATGCATCAAGTTCAAGTTTTTCTGAAGATGCATTAAGATATATTCGCTGTCCAAAAGTTTACAGGGAAAGAATTAATTGTTCAAACCAATATGATGATATCATGGGCTTAACCTGCTAATTTATGCATTAGCATTATTTATGGTAATTTATTTTTCTTAATTCTTCCACTCCACATAATTCTTCCATTCTTTTTTGACACTTGCCACTACTAAAGCTTTTCCCTTTGACTCGTGCTTGGTTGAAAAGTTATTTGGTGATTTACTTTCTCAAATCCAGTTTTTATTATTGCATCCATATTAACAGTAATGCTGTAATTCAATAATATATTTATTTGTATTTACGCTACATCAACGTTTACCTTTTAATAACACAATGACGTTTAATATATAGACTACGCAGTCCCCTATTCTCGCTATATAATCGGGTCTCCGAAAGATCTTTGAAGGTATGTTTACCAGAACAGCGGCGTACTCATTTATATGTTAATGACAATAATTATTTTTTTAATTAAAATTAAATATTTATGATTTCTTTTAGTTCCCGTCTATAAGAGAAATAATTATTTTGATAAAATAGTAAGTAAATAACTCTCAACAATTTAAAATAAAATTTGCTTGTCACGTAAAATATGTAAACACACAAAATGGAGAAAATGTTTTCATACGTCCATGATGTTTTCAAACACAAGATCAACTTCGTGAAGCTTCGTAAGCATCGAGTTAGAATCTTTCCTAAGAAATCATGAACTTGGTGCATCTTCGTATCAAAACAATAAACAATAACAAAGGTATTGTGTTGTGGACACTTTTGTAAAGCGTTCACCGGGTCTATATATTATACGTCATTGTAATAACATACCGACATAACCTCAATCTTACTTTTTCTTCTTATTCTTTTTTGGGGCCACGTCCTTGACAGTTATCCGGTAACCTCGATCTAACATGAAAGCGCAGTAAATTTGGCTGATTTACGACACCAGGTGTCGCTGTTCCGAACTTGCACGGTCCCAATAGGATGGAACGGCTACTAAAAATATTTATAATTTAGTAAAGTCGCTTTGGAATAATATAGTAGGGGGGATAAGTACCAAACGGAGCTTGGTGTCACGTCGATCGGTTGATTGAAACGTTACACCTTAGACATAAAGATATGGATACTTATAATGTTTCTATATTTGACAGACCTACATAAAGATCGTTGTAATCTTCTCCCATAAAAACTATGCTATTATACATTTCCAAACCTAATATTAACTTATTTTGTTTCAATGTGTTAAGTTTAGGTAATGTTTATAAATATATTTCAGTTCTTCATCCCGACCAACATCGAGTAGTTAGCGTGAGAGAGTGTGCTCGATCGCAAGGATTTCCAGATACATTCAGATTCTGTGGAAACATTTTGGACAAATACAGACAAATTGGCAACGCTGTGCCGCCTCCTTTGGGAGTTGCAATTGGTAAAGAGATTATAAAAGCTCAAAGGAAAAATATAGCTAACCAAAGAGTAGTTCCCATGGATGTGGAAACGACAAGCTGTATTACAAATGGTCTTTCATAAGTATCATTTCTTAAGTGGACTTAATTTTGATCATTTTTTTGTTTTTATGAATACCTACTTAATTTTTGGTTATTTGACTGATTATATATTTTTAAGATGCGTAAAAATTGTTGATTTTTATTCGTTTTAATTGTTGTTGATTTATTTTCTAGAATATTTTAATTTTTTGTTCTATTTGACTGATTTATTATTATACTAGATTAAGATTTGAACATTTTACTTCATAAATGTGCTATTGAGTTATTTTTAAGTTTTCAATTATATTTTTTTAAACTTTATAATATTGTTTCATTGTGTTCTATTCTCAAAGAAAACAATTATTTCTTTACAAAGATTATATACTTTCACGGCGGGTTTGTACGAATTATAAACTGAATATCTGGTTTATAAACACTGGTTTCCCAAAAATAAAGTAGAATACCGAGAATTGAACAAAAGACGAAATTCATGATTATTTCAAAAAACAAAGGTTGAATGCAAACCTGTAAATTCACAATAACGAAATCGAACGGGTGCACAAATATAAATACTTGGGAACAAGTGTTAATAACAACAATGACATCACAGAAGAAATAAAAACTAGAATTGGAAAGGCTCGAGCTGCTTTTATTAATATGAAGGACACTCTGGGAAGTCATGACATTAACCTAAACCTGAAAATGAGATTGGTTAGATGCTACATATTTTCGATACTGCTGTGCGGAGTAGAGACTTGGACTTTAAACAAGAGCAATATCGATAAACTAGATGGCTTCGAAATGTGGATATATAGAAGAATTTTGAAAATACTTTGGACAGACAAAATAACAAATAGTGTAGTTCTTCGAAGACGGGAGCTGTTGATCACCATCAAGAGGAGAAATCTGGAATATCTTGGTCATGTGATGAGAGGGAAAAAGTACCGATTGCTCCAGTTAATTTATCCAAGGAAAGATTCAGGGCAAACGAAGCGTAGGGAGATGAAGTATATCTTGGCTGCGCAATTTAAGAGACTAGTTCCAGTGCACATCTAACCAATTATTTAAAGAAACAGCTGCAAAGATACGAATAGCAATGATGATTGCCCAACTCCTTAGCAGAGAGGAGCACTTGGAGAAGAAGAAGAAACAAAATAATTCACACAGAGGTTCGAAAAGACCTCAGAATATATAGTACCGAAATATTCAAAACAGCACTAAAGAATAATAAAATTGTGAGGGTTTTAAGATCAAAACTGTCCCCAGACAAACATAGAATTACCAAAATAAGGGATCAGCATGGTAACACAATTACTGATAACAGAAATATTGCTAAGCATATTCAGGACTTCCACACTTGACCCTACAGTTCTACTTGACCTAACCCAAGACTGGCAAATACGATCATCTGCAACGTAGATACTGAAGATATTTCAGAAATATCAGATGAAGAAATACAGGCTACTTTTAAACAGATGAAAGATAAGAAAGCCCCAGGACAAGACCAAATTACATGGCAAATGTTAAAAATGAGAGGCTCAGTAGACGAAAAATTTCTGCAAATTCTTTTTAATAAATGTTTCCTATAGGCTTTAGCACCATTGATCATCTACAGATTATAGGAACATTAATAGAAAATACCACTAAATACAATGTTTTCCTTCACTTGGCATTCATTGATTTTCAGAAAAGCTATGTCTAGTAGACAATACTTATCGTATCTCAATATGTGGCCTAGATATTCAAGATTTCTTTATTTTATTGTGCTCACGATTTCTTTCTCCTTTCTGATTATTTGGATTACCTCTGTGTTGGTGACATGTTCGGTCCAGGATATACGAAGAATGCGTCGGTACACCCACATTTCGAATGCTTCTAGTTTTCTCGTGAGCGTCTCTGTCAACGTTCAGGCCTCCTCCTGTCAGCCATCAGCATCCACTTTGTCTTCTTGAAGTTAAGGCTCAGGCCGTTTTCCACACTAACTGAATTAACACGCCATCTTTTGCATTTTCCATATATTTGTGAAATATTTCCTCGGAATAAATATTGAATAGGAGTGGGGATAAGATACACCCTTGACGGACACCTCTTTTGATCTGCACACTTTCAGTGAGTTAATTGCCAATTTTTGCTCTTGCTGTTTGCCCCAGTATAGGTTGCCACAATTCGAATGTCCTTGTCGTCTATACTTGTCTTTCGCAAATATCTATCATTGTTCATGATGACATTGTCAAATGCTTTGCTAAAATCCACAAAGCACAAATACACGTCATTATCAACGTCTCTACACCGCTGTATAAGCACCTGGAGAGCGAAAAGTGCTTCTCTAGTTCCAAGTGCTTTCCGAAAACCAAACTGCGATCTATCAATATTTGGCTCACATTTATCATATATTCTTCTATGAATGATCTTAGTGAACGCTTTAGTGACATGATTGATCAAGCTTATAAGCCGGTAGCCATCACAGATCTGGGCATGTGGTTTCTTCGGGACTGTAATAAACGTTGACTGCAGCCAGTTCTCCGGGATTTTACCGCTATTATATATGTTGTTAAAAAGTACAACTAGATTATCAAGAAACTGTTGTTGATTACATAGGTCTTAAATTGCAGGTACATTGTCCGGACCTGCTGACTTATTGTTTTTTAGTGCTGCAATGTCATCTTCTATCTCCGGTTTAAGGACTGAAGGTCCTGTTTCTCCTTCTCCATATAGGTGATCATCAGTCCTGTCAGATGCAAATAATTTTTCTATGTATGATTTCCATGTTTCTAAGATCGTTGATGAGCTCCGAGATAAGATTTCCATCGCTATCTTTTATGCTGTTGGGTAACTTATTGAATTTCCTCTTGTTTGTCATTGATTTTATTTTTTTGTGCATATTGTAACTGTCGTATTTCCGTTCGTATTGTTCTATTTCCCTGCATTCCATGTTGGAAAACCACTTTTCTTTGGTTTCTCGAATTTTCGTTCTTATGATTTTGTGGATCTGCTGGTATTTTTTATTTTTATTCTTGAATTTACGTCTTTCATCCATCATATCCATTATCTCATTAGACATCCCTTCTTTCTTCTTCTGTCTGTCACGCTTTAATAGATCCGCGCATGTTGTTTGGATTGCCAATCAGACTTTTTGAAAAATTGTTTCTATTCAAAAACGGAGTACCTAAGTACAGCTTTTACACAATAGTGCTAGTTTGGTCAGGGTATTTGCCTATTATAATGATATTTTATGTTTTTATATTTTTATTTCGTGTGTTTGTCGTTTCTTAAATTATTAATATTAAATATCTGTTTGTAATGTTTAAATTCGCAAAAAATTTGTATGTATGTATATAAAAATTGTCACTATTCCGTTGACTTGTCAAAAACAAAACTATTTTTGTATATTGACTAAATAAAAAATAGAATAAGCGTTTCTATGCAATTATAAAAGAAGTCAATCGGTTAGAACCTTATCACTACTGCCAAAAACTCAAAGAAATAATTAATCTAATGTAAGCATGCACTCGAAATCGAATACAAGGAAACACCCCCAGAATCGAAGCTATAATTTATTCATTAATCTAGGTGCCCTTTTGCTTAAACACCTTTTCAATTCAGAATTGATTCCATCAACCTGTCCCATTTCTTTCATTTGTCCGCCCACTGCCACGTCAACTGTGACCATTGTAATTTTCTTAAAAATACTTCATCCAATATGAGTAAATAAAATTTCATTGTGTTCTACTCGAATGATATATATATATATATATATATATATATATATATATATATATATTATATATTTATATATTATATATATATATTATACCTTCTGATGGCACAAGCTAGCTTTAATTTAAATATACAGGAGTGTTCATATTTTAAATGCTTTCACAAATAAAGGAAAAATCAAATAAGTTTCGCGGAGCTGTTGGATTTATTTCTGTTGGCATTGCACCACTTTTACACCAATATATTCACAAAGATTATATATATATATATATATATATATATATATATATATATATATATATACCTATATATAATAATTTATTCATACTGGAAGATCATTTACATGAGATAGGATAAGTCGAATAAAATATATATATATATATTATATATATATATATATATAAATACATTATAAAATATCACAATTTCAGAATAAAAGGATAAAAAATACATAGAATTAATTATTTACATCCCCCATATATTCATTTATACTGTAGAAACAATTTTTCAACAGAAAAGATTTTAATTTACTTCGAAATTTATTTAAATTCATTTCAGATTATTTAATGCTGTTGGGAAGGTGATTGAAAAGTCTTATACCCATATAATACTGGAATTTTTCAAACCTTGCTGTATTATGTTTTGGTACTCTGATGAGGTCATTTTGCCTAGTTGGGTACTGATGATAACCAGAGTTTAAATGAAAAGTAGTTACATTAGCTTTTACATGTAGTATACATTTAGAAATATATATAGAAGGTATATATATTTTTATATACCGGTATGCCGGTGAGACATGGATATTAAATAAGAAGAGAGAGGATACTCTGGAAATATGGGAAAGGAAAATGCTGAGACGTATATTCGGAGGACGGAAGACAAAATATGGTTGGGAGAGGAAGAACCAACAATGAATTAATGGCTTTATACAAAGAACCTACCATTACCAAGTTCGTCAAGTCACAAAGAATCAGATGGTTGGGACATGTGGAAAGAATGGAAGCAAACAGAATGCCCAAACTAGTAATAACCAGAAAACTAACCGGCCCTAAAAAGAAGAGGTAGACCCAGAACGAGATGGATTAATAAAGTGGAGGAAGACATTAAACACGTGAAGGTGAGGGACTGGAAAGAAAAGCACAAAATAGAAGCGAATGGAGAAAATATTGTCCACCAGGTCATTCAGAGTAGTTATGAATGTTGTATATACATATTTAAGTTAAAGTTTTGTTTAAAATAATCGTATTTAGTTAATATTAGGATTATGTTTACAAAAATTGCCCTAGGCCTTAACGGCCTGTTGTGCGTAAAATAAAATATAAGATA